AGAGTATTGCTTTTGGAAAATGCCATTAACTGTACTGGGAGTGGTGTGGCCTTTGTCCCTTGTGGGACATGTAACATTTGGTGAAAAATATAATGTGGTATAAACCAGCAATGAATTCATCACTGGGGGGTTGGCGCTGACCTTCCTGCTGTTTCCAACAACTCTTAGAAGCTTTTGTATCTTTTCAATACCACTGAGGAAGAGGAGCTAAGGGGGATTCCAGGGCTTGAACATAGAATGTGATTTTCTTTTTGAGACAGAATCTCTCTCTTTCTCACCCTGGGTAGAGTGCCATGGTGTCATCATAACTCACAGCAACTTCAAACTCTTGGGCTCAAGCCATCCTTGTGCCTTAGCCTCCTGAGTAGCCTATGCCCAGCTAGTTTTTCTATTTTTAGTAGAGACAGGGGTCTTGATCTTGTTCAGTCTGGTCTTAAACTCCTGAGCTCAAGCAATCCTCCCACCTCAGTCTCCTAGAGTGCTGGGATTACAGGTGTGAACCACTGCGTCCGGCATAGAATGTGATATTTAAGCTCTGGAAGCAGACACCAGGTACCTAGGCTCGAATCTCAGCTTCTCCCTGAGTTAGCTGAGTGACCTTGGGCAAACCATGTCACCACTCTGACCTCTGTTCTTACTCGTTCATTAACTGGCGATATGCCCAGTCCCACCTCATTGGGTGGTTGTGAGTATTAAGTGAGGTAATTTAAGTAGAGAATTAGCACAGAGTCAGGTTCTTCATACCTTCTCCTTTTCCATAGAACTGTTACCATCACCTGGCAGGACTGGGGCTTGCCTGGAGTAGAAGAAGCACATCGGCGCTAAGCCTCCTTTCTCCTTGAAGCAAGAGATAAACAGAGAAGTAATGCTTTAAAAATGACAAAGTCGGCCAGGCGTGGTGGCTCATGCCTGTAATCCCAGCACTTTGGGAGGCAGAGGTGGGCAGAGTGCCTGAGGTCATGAGTTTGAGACCAGCCTGAGCTAGAGTGAGAACCCATCCTTTAAAATAGCTGGGCGTTTTGGCAGGTGCCTGTAGTCCCAGTTGCTTGGGAGGCTGAGGTAAGAGAATTGCTTAAGCCCAAGAGTTTGAGGTTGTTGTGAGCTGCGACACCATAGCACTCTACCACTGAAGGCAACAAAGTCAGACTCTGTCTCAAAAAAAAAAAAAAATGGCAAAGTCTACTTAGCCAATCATGTAGTAGAACTATTATAGTATAAATTTGCAATGAAAAATAGCAGCAAAAAATAGGTTATATTAAACAAAGAGTAGCACTAGCATTAGAAGTCCACAAAAGGGGAAGGAAGAGCGCGTAGGTGCGGCCTAACCCGGCTGCCCATGGGCCTCGGTGCTGCTTGTTGGCAGTTTGTTGTCTTACCCGTCCTTTCCTGTTCTCCCTCTCCTCTCACTATCTTTCTGCCTCTCCCGGCCACCTTGTCCTTTTGTCCTGTCACATTGAAGTAACAGCAGGGAAATAAATGAAAATTAGAGGAAGCAAGGAAGGAAATAAAGGAAGAGAGGGAGGAAGGAAATGAGCTTCTGGATCTAATCCCAGGGCCACTGTAAATCTTTAGCTGTTTGGGGAGGGAGCTGCCTGACCCTGAGAAAGTTCCAGGTCCTCTTTGAACCTCGAGTCTATTGGGAATTCCCAGAACTCTCCAGTTCCCTCTCTCAGCTTTGTCAGGTCTGTTTGTATAAGGAAGTAAAAGGTGGAAAAGAGGAAAAAAGGAATAGGAATGGAATGCAGGGCCGAGATGGGGCTTGGGAAGGCCAGTCCTCCACCACTCCCCATCTTCCTCCAATACAGCTGATGCCCTTCTTTCCCCATTGTGGGATCACTCGTTTTAAGCATCACCATGACAACTATGGCCTTAATGGAGGCAGTATGGAATAGCTTTAAGCACTGTATTACTCCATCGCTTATTACTGTGTGACTTCAGGGGAAACTCCTCCCCTCCTCTGCAGCTTAGCTGCCCCACCTGAGAAATGGGATTCTGCATTGCCAGGAGGATTAAAATGGGTTAATAGACATCAGACTCTTCAATAGTGGTCCTAGCTCCCTGGAAGCGCTTGGTAAGTAGCAGCTGTTTGTTACGGTCCAGCTGTTGGGTCCTTTTTTCAGGGCCGACCCAATGGCTTATATTCACAACACGTTTGTTATCTGGGCACCAAGAAAATGCTGGCTAAGATTGTTTCTCTTCTCAATTGCAGCATCACTGCTTGTTCTATAGCGTAGACCATAGATGTAACGAGGATTTTGTTCTTTCTGAGGCTACTGTGTTTTATTTTTTATTAATGGCCATGTTTTTATTGCTCTGTTTTACCTGCCATACATTGTCCTCTCAGATGAAAATAATAATACCTTCAGTTAATGATACGTTGCACTGGGAAAGTTGCTTTCATCCCGACAGCTCAAAGCCCTCTACAAACATGACTTCATTCATCCTCCCTGTGCTCCCAGCACAGGGGCGCTTTTACATTTCCCAGTCATTCATCTCCAGCTAGATTCTCAGAAGCCATAGTATTGATTAAGCACTTCTACCTCTCAGACCACAAATCACAGGCTCTGCTGCTCTCCCTCCTTCTTTCCAGAGTGACCTTACCCTGCAGAAGATACCCAGAACCCAAATCCCTTCCCTTCCATACCTCACTCAGGTGCCCACCGCTGTGCCCTGCAAATGGTAAACATCAGATGAACTTTCTGGATAAGCTGCCCTGATATCTAGGAAATAAGAAGTTTGGCAATTTAGGACCCTTGTCTTCTTGAGAATTTCTTAATTAAGACCATGGGGGATGTTCTACTGTAGCCAGTAAGGTCTCTGCCCAGAGTAGACCTTGCTACTCATGGCCCTGGCATGTTTGACACCTGTGTGTACTTGTGAAAACTTGGAGCTCCACAATAACAGTACTTCCTTGTTCTGGGCTGCTTGTGGCCTGAGCTCCCTGGTAATGTAAATTGCCAACTGCTCACTTTTGTTTTCACCTTGCAATTACTGGAAGGGAAGGGCTGCAAGCTGTATTTGACTCTCTGGTCACACTCCAGATTCAGCTCCTGTACAGGAAAAAGCTGACTTCTACCCCTTCAAAACAAACAAAAAGACTAAGTGGAATTAACTCATTAGAGTGCCTGTGGTTGTTTTTCATTAGTACATAAGCATTGGTTGTAATCTTTTCCTTATTTATATACTTTAAAAAATGTATGTGTATAGATGTATATATAGTCAAGTTTTCTTAGATGATGAATTAAATCCACCTTAGGCAAGGTCAAAACAGAACAATGGCTTCCTTCTGTTCTGCAGACCCTTAACTAACTAAAATATACTCAGTAATTAGTAGCTCAGATAACAAAACTCACTATGTTTTCCAGAAACAAAAACTCTTAACAGTGAATTCTTAACAATATTTACATTCCTAATCTCTTCTGCCCCTCCTCCAAGCTGCTGAAACTTTTAGTTCCTTGCTCAACACCACCATTCCTAAACATACCCCTGAGGGTCAACTCCTAGTCCAGAAGATGGAAGTTTAGCACATATGAAAAAATTTAAAGGGCTATTGTTGAGGGCCAGTACCTGTATAGAAACACCTATTATTTTTTTAAAAGATGGTAGGAATTAAAGCTTCAGTTAGGTCAATCAATTCCATGAAAAAAAATTCTCAAAGCTAGATGTGGTGGGTCTTGCCTGTAATCCTATCACTTTGGGAGTCAGGATTGCATGAGATGAAGAGTTCGAGACCAGCCTGAGCCCCATCAGGAAAAAAAAAAGTTTGGTGGGTATGGTGAGGTATGCCTAAAGTCCCAGCAACTTGGGAGGCTGAGGCAGGAGAATCCATAGAGCTCAGGGTTTGGTGGCTACAGTGAGTTACTCAAGCTATGATTGCCCTGCCCTCCAGCCTGAGCGGAGAGGGCAAGATCTCGTCTCAAAAATTAAAAAGTAAAAAGTAAAAAAAAGGCCAGGTACGGTGGTTGGCGCTTGTAATCCCAGCACTTGGGAGTCTGAGGCGGGTAGATTGCTTGAGCTCATGGGTTCCAGACCAACCTGAGCAAGAGTGAGACCTCGTTTCTAAAAATAGCTCAGGCGTTGTGGCAGGCGCCTGTAGTCCCAGCTACTTGGGAGGCTGAGACAAGAGCATCACTTGAGCCCATGAGTTTGAAGTTGCTGTGAGTTGTGATGCCACAGCATTCTACCGAGGCCGACAAAGTGAGACTCTGTGTCCAAAACAAAAAAAAAACAAAAAAAACGTTGGCTTGGGATATTAGTCACTAAGAAAGGCTCACTTCTTTCCTTGTACATTAATATTGGCTTATATCTCCAGGCAGCAAAGTCTTTGGTTGAAAACCTAGAAAAAGACTGCTCAGTCTTCAGGGGTGGGTACCGACTAGAAGGTGTCAGGGAGGAGGTCCTTGGGGTGTGGGTAATGTTCTGTTTTGATCTGACTGGTGTTCACTTTGTGAAGTCTGGGAGCAGTACCTGTGACTTAAGCACTTCAGTACGTTATATTTGAAAAAAAGATTTTTTTTTAAATGGGATGGCTTGAAAGTTATTTAAAAAAATAAATACTTTTGGGACTTGAGCAGCTGCAAAGGCTCTGTTTTCTATTTTGAACATTCTGTTTCTCGAGATGACCACATCTTTTAGAGGAAATGAGTCAAAGCCACTCTGTCTTGCTTTTCCAGCTGAGCATGTTCAGTTTGAATGAAGTAATGAATGAACTTGGCTGCAACACCCACAAGCCTACAACAGCAAACACAGAGGCCTCGGCCAATCAGCAGACACTCAAGGTTTTTAAGTTGAGTTCAAACAGGACCCCGGGAGACCAATCAGAGAGCGAGGCCCCGCCCCAAACTCCCGGCCACGGCCAACCAGGAGGCCGGATGAGCCAAAACACAGCGGCTGGCCAATGCCGGAGAGCCCCACGGCACCGAGCTCCGCCAATGGGCGCGGCCCGTCCAAAAGAGAAACAGTGCGGCCCGACAGGCCGCAGGATTCGAATCGAACGTCCGTCCGGGAGCCCGGCGCTGGCGGAGCGACGCGGCGGCCAATCAGCGGCGGCGACTCACGGCCCCCGAACGTTGGGACAGCGGCCCCGCCCCGCGCTGTTGTTTGTGGTGTCGGCCGGGCGGCGGGCGCCGAACCACAACATTCGCCGGCGGGCGGCCGGGCGGCGTAGCGGCGGCGGCGAGCGCGAGCCCAGGGCGGCCGGCCTCCGCGCCGCCGAGCCTCGCGTCGCGTCATGTCGGTGAACATGGACGAGCTGCGGCACCAGGTCATGATTAACCAGTTCGTGCTGGCCGCGGGCTGCGCGGCCGACCAGGCGAAGCAGCTGCTGCAGGCGGCCCACTGGCAGTTCGAGGTGCGTGCGGGCCGCCCCGTTAGACGCGTCCGCTCCTCCGGGAGCCAGGGACTGGGAGCCGGGCCGCGGCGGGGCGGGGAACTCTGGTGGTGTCTGTTCGTCCTGGGGTCCGCGCCAGCGAGCAGGTGTCGTGTGGGGCCGGGGCAGAATACCCCCTGCACGTGGGGCCTGGCGGCCCGGGCCGGGGGCCGGGCGCTGAGACGAGACGAAGCCTGGCGGTGAGGCCCGACCGGTGGGCCTCCTGCCCTCCGCCGGGCCCGGGCCGCGCTCACCACCGTGTTTGTCCGCAGACTGCCCTGAGCACGTTTTTCCAGGAGACCAACATTCCTAACAGTCACCACCACCACCAGATGGTAAGTGCCGTCGGGGAAGGGCGGAGGGGTCCCGGAGCAGGGCCGGCCGGATGCGGGCGAGGGGCTGGGCCTGACCGCGGCGGGGGCCGAGGGGCGCGGGCCGGGGCCGCTGTCACCCGCGGGCGGTGACAGCCATGTTGCCGGGGAGCGCCGCGCCGCGAATGTAAACAAAGAGCCAAAATGTCTTCCAGGAAAGAGCGGCTCCCGGGCCGGCGCTGGCTTCACTAACTTTGTGACCCGCCTCCTGAGCTGCGGCATTTTGGCCCCAGGCCTTATTCCTGGCTCGGTTCCCTGGGGGAAGGGGCATCAAAGTTTGGGGGGTAGGAGGCTAGGGGAAGATAGCCAGAGGACTAGCCAAAGACTCAGGAGCTGGGAGACCCTAGTGGCAGGGGCACAGATAATAACCTGGCATTTGGGCAACTGGGCAGTATGACTGAAGGGCCGATAGGGGCCTGGGAGTTGGGGTATTAGTGTTTGTGTGAGCTCCCCTTGCTGCTGAGTGGCAGCCCTCTCCACCTCCACACACTCACATGCACTGCACTACAGGGAACAGGAAGGGCATAAATCCACTCTCCCCAGGAAGCTGGGCTCTACCCACAAAGGTATGTTTCCCTTCTAAGCCCAGGGAGACTGGGAAACCCAGAAAAAAGACACAGCCAGAGCAGGGAAGGCACACAGATTTTGACCCAAGATAAGGCCAAGAATTTGCATTTAATCTTAGTATGTTAAGATATATTCAGCAGCAGGTCTGGATTTGCTTTCTTCACTTCCCCAGCCTATCCCCAGGCCCAAGGCTTTGCCCTCCTGGCCATGGTGAACCCTGCTTTCTTGAGGCTGAGGACATCCCTTCTTCACCCCACCCTCCTAGTTACCTATTAGCCTGACTTGGGAGGAAAGGCTGGGCTCAGAGATAATGTAAGACATTATTCCCCAAGAGACCCATTGTGGCTTCTGGAGTACATTTTTGGCATTTTTAACACTCTGGCATCCTTGCCCATGGCTCCCTCCAGAGCAGCAAATGGTTCCTCTGCTGTTTGTCATGTAGTCACACAGGATAAGTAGAGAAGGGTCTGGACTTTCTTTTAACTAGTTTGTCTCTCGTAATGGCTAATGCTGGATAGAAATCAAACAAAAACGGTGTTTGGAGTGTGATGGGAAAGGGAGCTGGCCACAGGGCTCTGAGTAAACCCAGAAGGGGTTTGTTTCCAGGAGACACCCTCTCCTGTATCCACCAAGGGACATCTCGAGCTGCCACATTGCTCTTGAGCCTGCCATCTCCTCTCAAAAGAACCTTGAGATTTGCTCCTGCTTGCTGTGGCCTTTGCAAAAACAGCCATTCTGAGGGGCCAGGAACAGGGAGGCTCCCTGGGAAGAGCCAGTACTGGCATCCTGTTTAACTCCTCTTGCTCCTTGTCTGCAAATCCCAGGGGGTATTGCAGTCCCCTTTGGGAGCTTCCCTCAAGGGATGTGGTAGGTTTTGTAACATTAAAATCAGTGTGTCCATCAGTGTACAAGTATTGAGCACTTTTTATCAGTCTGTCAGTCAGCACAATGGAAAACATCTCTCTCAGAGAGTTGGCAATTTCTTTAGACACCATAAATCAAAGGAAAAAGTTAAAAACACCAGAGACCAGTCACAGCAAAATGGCAATAGCAGAAGTGACCCCAAGGTAGGAGTAACTGATAAAGGATTGTCCTGATAAATGCTTGACTACTGTAGATTCCTACAGTTGTTGAAGGTTCCTGAGTTGGATTTGGAGGGATCCAGAAGCAGAGACAGGCACCTCAAACTGGAAGCAGGTGGGCACTGGCAGGTGGCAGTGGATACTAGGTTCACTGGAGAGCTGGACAAAGGGGCTTTAGATCATTTAGTCTAGTGGGTCTCAACGTTAGTAATGCTGCAATGTATTTTCATTGTTGAAAAGGAGTCGTGACCCACAGGTTGAGAACCACTGATCTAGTCCAAACCCCCAATTTTAGGGAGAAGCTCAAGGTTCAGGAACTTACTTGCCCAGACTTAGGCCGGCAGGCTGGCCCAGGCCTATTAGCCACAAAGGTTGTTCTCTGGTGGCTGTTTGAGGAGACAAGCCTCACTGGGTAGGGACAATCTGGGGAGATCTGGGGAAGTCGGTCACGTTGCTGTGATGCAATTGCTCCCCCCCCATTCATTGTTTCCTGCTGCCGAGAAGTCAGCCCTGGGGGGTGGGGGTGGGGTGGGGCAGGGAATAGTGGAGGGAGGAGGGAAAGGTCTGGGTGGAGCCAGGCCTCTGCTGGGAGTCCTTTGACTTCCTTCAAGCCCTTGGGAAGATTGGTCAGAGCTCCATAGGGGCTGAGGTGAAACTCACCCGGGGAACTGGGTGGGCTGGCATCCCCTTCCCAGGTGTGTCCTCACTACCCCCCTCCCCCTACCAATTTCTGGTTTGGGTTTAGCTGCGGAGCTGGAAAGCTCCCTCCTTCAAGGTGAAGAGTCCTTGCTCCTCCCACTTTTGTGCCTGGGGGAGGGGCCAGTGTTGCTAAAATTAGGAGAAATTCAAAGAAGGACTCCCATGGCTTCCTGGGAAAGGAAAAAGCAGCTTTGAAGTCTGAACCAGCTTTGTGTAGGTCTAGGTCGTGTTCTCTGTGTGCCTTTTGCCCACACCCTCAGTGAGGTGCTCTCTGAGGTAGTGGCAGAAGACAGCAAATGTGGGAGCCCCAGGAAGAGGGCTGAGGGGCTGGATAGACAAACTGCCAGCCTCTGGCCAAGGGCATGGAGCCTGAGGCTGCAGATGCAGGAAACAGAAATCCTTAGTTTCTTTCCCCAGGGATCCAGACCTAACTGTGTTGACTGTAAATGCAAACTAGTGTGGTCTGGATAGAGTTAAGAGCTTGGGCCTGTAGGCATGTAGGCTGGGAATTTATTTTCTCAACTTGGGCTGCTAGGGGTGCATTTTTGGGCAAATGATTTGACTTTGGGGCCTCAGTTTCCTCATTTGTAATATAAAGAGAATAAACTGAAACCCCAAGTGTTACTGTGAGAAGAAAGAGGGAGGCAAAGGCTGCAGGGCCTCATGGCTGTTGCTAGTCGTGTGGAGTGAGCCCACACACTGAGGGTGTATAGCTTTTCCAAGGTTGGCATTAGAAGAGAGACCCTCAATCTGGGCACACTCCCTTGACTGACAACCTGGGAACATGTGAGGGCGGATTATGTGAGGAGCCAGCAGGTTTCCTTACCCAGGGGAGGTGCTGAGCAGGCTGTCCTGGCTGCTCCCTGTCCTCTCACCTTAAGCTGACACCTAAGCTTCTGGTTGGAATTAACTGTTTACTTCAGGTACTCCTTGGAGTGTCATTACCAGGCATCATGAACTGCTCTTGGTTTTGATAAGGTTATTGGGTTTTGTCTTTTGTTTTGATTGGCTCAGGAGGATAGTATCAGTGATTTTGTCTTGTTGAAGATGCTTATGGCCTGAGAAATGGGGGTAAGGGAGAGGCTGTGCTGGGTGAGCCCTCCCTCCCCACGCAGACTCTGGGACCCTGGTGAACAGCTCTCCCCACACCTGTGTTCTTTCCCAGCAGATGTGTACTCCCAGCAACACACCTGCCACGCCACCCAACTTCCCCGACGCACTGGCCATGTTCTCCAAGCTTCGAGCTTCCGAGGGCCTACAGAGCAGCAACAGCCCCATGACGGCCATGGCCTGCTCCCCTCCTGCAAACTTCAGCCCTTTCTGGGCCTCATCCCCGCCTAGCCACCAGGCACCCTGGCTTCCGCCCTCCTCCCCAACCACCTTCCACCGCCTCCACTGCCCACAGCCCACGTGGCCCCCTGGAGCGCAGCAGGGGGGTGCCCAGCAGAAAGCCATGGCAGCTGTGGATGGCCAGAGATGAGACTGGGTGCTGCCGGGCACCAGGCTGAAGCTGGGGGCAGTCCAGGGTTGTGGAGACACAGGAAGGCCAGGGAGGGGGGCTGGACAGGGTGGGGGTGGGGGTTCCTGAAGATCGCACTGGAAGATTTTATAAAAGGATTTTTGTGGGGGGGGGGCAGTAAACTTCCTGGGCCACTTGGGTCCTTCAGGAGTTTCTCTTCAGGCAAGGTTTTTCCTCTTTTTAATATATAACTATAATATATATGAATATATAAATATAACTAATGTATGTGAGAATGGGGCTGGTGCACCTGGGGTGCCGAAGTGCTTAGTGCCCTCAGAGGGGAAGCACCAAGAGAACCTTTCTCTCAGGCCAGCGCCACTTCTGCCCCAGTCTTGTGGGGTAGGGGTGTGTTTCAAAGCCAGATGGAAGGATCTCCCAGCTGCTTCCTTTCAAAAGTCACTCCTGGAACTAAGAAGACCTCACTGCTCTAAGCCTGGGGGCAGCCAAATAGCAGCTGCAGGAGGGTCCCAAAAGGGCCCAGTGCTTTCTGGGACTCTTCCTGCTGCTAGCCCAGGGGCTGCTAGACCCAGGGGTCCTCCCCATTTCCTCTCCAACCCCCATTGCTGTTGTCACCCCTGTCTGCAGCTGAGTGTGCAGGGCTGAAGAACTACCTTGGGTCAAAGGCCAGGCTCTGCCCACTGGGGACTTGACTGTCCCATGGGCATCCTGCCTCATAGTGCACATATGGGGCTGGAGGAGATTGTGTAGATTCTTTCCCAAAGCAGAATCCTGCCTCACCAGGGTGAAATTTTAATTTAAAAAGTTAAAAAGAGACTTTTCTAACTTCCCTGGTTTGCAGTGCTTTTATTTACTTGGTAGGAAAATCTGTCTCCTTAAGGAGGGCCATGTTGTGGTTGGGAGTGGGGTGCCAACGCCATAGGGCTGGTCTGGACGTTTTGTGGTGTGGGGCATTCATACCAGGGGATGTCATGGCACAGACAGGATCCAGATTGGGGGATCAGGGAGAAGTCCTGACTTGGTTGCTGTAACCATCTTTCCTTGTAGCCCCTATCCATGTAGTCCCTGCCCAGAGAGCCCTCGGTCCTGAGCCCTGGAAGCTGTTTCCATCTGCAGTTGGGGGAGCTGCCCTTTTTACCTGGTAGCCTGATGATACCCACCCTACTGCCTAGATTCCTAGGCCCTTAGGCCTTCACCTTCCAGCTGGCCTTTCTCCAGTGCTTCCTGCCCTCATCTCCCTTTGGGGTCGTGGGTCTCGATTGGTTGTGTGGCAGTGACCCAAAGGTCAAACAAGGCTATTGGCCATGAGACAAGGTGTGTCCCCAAAGTGACTTGTTTCCAGTCCCCCCTCCCCATAGCTCTCTAGGCTTTAGAATGGGGTGGTGTTGGCAATGCCTGACTCAGCATGTCTTTCTCAGATGGTCCTCCAGTGCAGGTGCCCAGAGGTAGAGGGAGCCTGTCTACCTAGCCTTAGGAGTGGGTGATGGTCCACATGGTGAGATCCCTCCCTGAGCTCTGTCCTGTACAACCACATGCTCTGGGCAGCCAGGACACTGTGGGTAGGGGACCCACTCCTGCCCTGCCCTCTGAGGAGTCTAAGAACACAGGGACTGTGGGTTGGAGGCTGAAGCCCAAAGTGAAGTGAAACTTGAGTGAGGCCCAGCCCAGATTCTGAGCCTTGTCAAATCTTGTACTCAGAGATGGGGCAACCCCTCCTTCAGTGGAGCAGGACATGGACCCAGCTGCCCTCTGCCTCTGCATGTGACATTGATGTATTTGGAAGCGGAGTTGATTCTTTCAGTTTTGTTTCCTGGTTGGAAACCCCTGAAACTCCTCCCACCCTCACCCCTTCCCTGCCCACCTGTGCTTTCTCAGGCTGCCAGGGGCAGCCCCTGTCAGCATGTGGGTGGTCATGCTTTGACATACCCAGAGGTTGCTATGGCCTGGGCCAGGGGCTGCCTGGGTATGGGACCCAGACTGGCGAGAGCCATCTGGCTATGCCCAGGTGTGGTATGGTAGGGGGAGGCCTGGCTGGCTCTGGGAATGTGGCTCCTAGCCCTATGTGGGTGCGGGCAAGACGTGAGTGAGGAGGGCTAGGTTGCTCCTCTCTGCCAAGCTGGTGGTGAATTTGGCTTCTGAGACCTGGGAAACTGAGCTGACCTTCTGACATTTCGCAGCCAGGGTGGGGCCTGAGTGAGAGAAATAGGAGCCACCAGGCTGGCGTGGAGGAGGGGCAGGCCCTGGCTGTGACTCCTGCTTGTGGAGAAAGGGTCAGGGGCATGGGGAGCCCACCCAGAACTCCACTACCCCCGTGGCGGCTCCTATCCATCCACCACCATTAAATTGTTACCTAAAGAGTTGCTACAGATCAGAGGGAGCCCCGCTGCCCCCCATAGCACCCTAGCCAGGCCTACCCTCCTTTGCCTACGCCAGGTCAGGAGTGAGAAACTCATTTCTGGGCTGTTTCCTGTCACTGTTTGCTGTGTAATTCTGTCACCCTGTCTCTTTTACACTGCAAAGTATAAGACATCCCTTTCCCTTGTCAGAGGAAGATGGGAACTGGAGGTGGGGGGAGCCCCATCTTTGATCTGGTACTTCCTTCTCTGAGGTGGGAGACTCTGAGACAGAAAACTGCTTTGACTTCAGGGCTTTATAGGCCTGGTGTGGGGTGGTCTTCCATCTAATGGGGGACCCCTAGAATCTGACTGAAGTCCAAGCTCAGGAAGTCAAGGGACTCCTTAGTCCTGGCTGTAGTAGTGGTGGGAGCTTGTCCCTTACAGCACCCTGAACTCGCCTGCCCATGCTCCTCTGTCCCCTCCCATCTGCCAAGATCTTTAGCACAAAGGCTAGGGGGGCACGCAGCAGAGTGGGGCATCCTTGCTGCCAGGTTTAGGGGCTGGTATAGAGTAAAGCAGGTCAAGGTTTAGGCCATAGGCCTCTGGACCAGTACTGGTCTCACCTCCCTGTCCCTCTGGCTGGACACAGTGTGGTGCGCTATCTCCCTGGGGGGAAAGCGAACTGGAAAACTGGCAGCCCCTGGTCTGAGCCCCTCAGCCAGAGGGTGGACTTCAGGTCACAGCTGTCTTTGCAGTAGCCCACTTGAGGCTGAGCAGTAGGGGATGGCAAACAGCTTCCCGGCTGGCTGCAGGGATTTGCTTTCGGCTGGTGACATTGCTTGGTGGGGACCCTGTGCCAGGAGCCAGGAACTGCCCTGCACCAGCCCTGGGAGAGCAGCAGGCAGCCGCCACCCTAACCTGCAGGGTGCAGCACAACACTCAGAGCATGGGCTCCAGCCTGCGCAGAGGGCCTCAGCAACCCTCAGGCCAGCCCCGCCCTGGACCAGATGGCAGGGCAGGGGCCAGCGGAGGCAGCAGCATCCCAGGTGAGCCAAGGTCAGGACAGCTGCTGGGGTGAGAGCATGCCCAGCCAGTCCCCAGGGCCAGGCGTTTGGCTGTGCTGCCCTCCCTGCCCAGGATGCAGTGCCCAGCCCTCCAGAAGCCCCAGCACCCTCAGAGAATGGGGGCTGTGAGTTTGATCCTCAGGCTGCAAACTGGACCCTCTCTCCACGAGGTCTGCCAAGTGGATGTGGAAGTGACTGGAGGCATGTTAGGGGGCTGCAGGCCCAGCCAGCAGCGGTAATCTCTCCTCTCTCTCTCCATCTTCCTCAGCTGGGGCCATCAAAGAAGCCTTGTCTGACTTAAACTTTTCCCTAAACATTTATTTATAGCTCTGCTCGTGAACAGTGGTGGAGCGTGGTCCACGGGTGGGCTCCTCAAGCCCTTCCCCTGGAGGCACGTCCATGTGCATCTCCAGCCCCTGGGAGCTGCTCTCTAGATTTGCCATCTCCATGGGGCTGGATGCAGGGGCTGCATTTGGCTGGGCGAGACGCCCCTCAGAGGAGACCGGTCTGTCTTTCCTGGGATGAGTGGAAGCTGCAAGACAGGAGGGGCCGAGGTTGCTCTGCCTCAACTCCCAGTCCTCCAGGGTCCTCACAGCCTGCCCAAAGCCCAGGGAGGTTTGGAGCAACACATAGGCCAGTCTGGGTCCTTAGTGCAGGCTCCTAAGCAAACACTTAAGACCCTTTGTATCTTTGGGAATGAAAAATAAATACAGGAGCAAAGCCTCTTGCAGGGGCGGAGAGCTGCCTCTTTGTAACATTTCCTCTGTTAACACAGGGACAAGGCAGTGTTTGCCCAGATAGGTACAGGAATTTTCCCTAAAACTACTATCTCCCTCTATCCTGCTTCTAGAACATTTTGAGTGGCCTTGGAGCAGACAGTGGGTGACAGTGGGGATGAAGCTGAGTAAATGAAACAGGTCTGGGGGCCAGGGTTACAGTCCTGTGCTCACTGTCCACTGAGGCTCTCCATCCAGCCTGTTCCCCTTACTGCTCCTTAGAGCACTGTCTGTGGGACCAGAGGGCTTAGCTTTCAATTCCAGCTCTGCCACCTCCTAGCTATATGACCTAGGCCAGGGGTCCTCAAACTTTTTAAATAGGGGGTCAGTTCACTGTCCCTCAGACAGTCAGAGGGTCGGACTGCGGGCCCTGGGACAAATCAGCTGCTAAGCAGGACAGGCAGTGGCGGCAAAAATACCCAGCTGGATAAATGTCCTAGGCCGGCTGCATGTGGCCTGCAGGCCGTAGTTCAAGGACACCTGACCTAGGGCAATTATCTTAACCTCCTTGTGCCTCAGCTTTCTCAGCCGTAAGTGGGGCTAACAATGGTCCCGACCTCTTACTGTTGGTGAGTAGACTAAAATTGGTTCAAAATGCCCAGCTGGTGAGGGGCCTGTGATGAAATAAGGCGCCGCTTACTCCACTTCTGCCTCCCCTCCCTCAGCCACAGGCCCTCACTGAACGTGGGGGCAGAAGTGATGTTGGAGAGGACGTAGGGCTCAGGCTCTTAACTTGGGGCTGGGGGTGGTGTGGGGGTTCCCGGGGACCCCTGAACCTCCTGTAAGCTTTTGCAAAGGGTGTGGGTGCGTTAACTGTTCTGGAGAAGGATAGTTGGCACCTTTTATTAGATCCTTGTGGCGGGGCCCTGATGCTAAGGAGCACTAACCCAGCACCCCTTTGATGACAGATAAGGAAACTGAGGTCTGGAGAGGGAGAGTCATGTAGCTATCCAGCCTCCTGGCTCCACGCCAGAGTGGCTCCTAGCAAGAAGGCAAGGACCTTGTGTGGCTGAACCCCAGGGTCCCCAGCTCCCTGATCTTTAGGCATGATTTAGCTCCTGGGGGAAATCAGGGACCCTAGGGACCTCCCAGACCTGGTCACTGTCCTATTCCTACCGGCCTCTTTGCAGAACCTGGGAGCACTAGCTCCAGGAGAGGCAGTACACATGAGTAGGGGAAGGACGTGGGCTTGGAGCCAGAGATGTGGGTCGCAGCCCCTTTCCCTGTTCCCTCTTCTGTGAAATGGGACAGTAACTATGTGTACCCTACAGAACTGGTACATTCAAGCACTCAGTCACTAGAGTTTCTTTTTCCACCCATCCCATCCTTCAGCTTCCAGGCTTTTCCTCTCTCCAGGGAAATAAAGGTATAAACCATATGGGCCAGAGAGGGAGGCTGGTGGGGCAAGGAGGAGAGGCCTGGGACAGTGCTTAGGCCACCTGGAAGGATACTCCATCCCGAAGGAAGTTACCTGAGCTGTTGTCAGCCAACATCTGAGCACTCTGAGGCCGAGAGGGCAGCTGGGTGCTGTCGTTGAGGGACTGCTGCCTGTGTGGCCGGGACTGCTTGGGCTTGTGCTTTGAGTTCCCTGTGGCTGATGGGGACAGTAGAGGGAAGGGCCAGTTCTGAGACACTGAATGAGAGGTCTGTGGGGACCCATGAGGTGGGGAGAGGGCTTCAGGGCTGCTGGTCACAGCCAGCACGGCTGTGGTAGGGTCTCATGTTGGTCTGAATTTGTGAGCATCCTCCTGAGAAGCAGCGCTTCCTTCATTCCTGTGCCGTCCCACCTACTCACATCCATCCATCTGTCCATCCATCCATCCACTCCCTCACTCAGATGGTATCTGAGGACACACACACATCAGCTGTGTGCCAGGTGCTGGGTGAGCTCTGACCCGGGGTTCTCAGTTTGGGGTGGGGGGGATACTAGAAAGGTGCATTGGTGGCTGTCATGCACTGGGGAGAAAGAGATGCAGCACACTTGAGGGCTGGACAGCTGGAAGTGGGCATTTGGAGGATGGGAACCACTGTGCAGGGGGTGGCTAGGGAGAGGGTAGCTAGGGAGGGGGCATGGTGCTGATTTTGGAAGGAGGGGGTGGGACTCATCTAAGACATGCTACACACAGGGCTTGGGAGAGGGCTGGCAAGAAAAGTTGGGGCCACCACATCCTGGCTGGTTGGCTGAGGCTGGACAGCTGTCTTCTACCTGCAAACATTCACCTGGTGGCTTTTGGAGAGATCTGAACATTTGGAGCCGGGAAGGTAGAGGAGGAAGGCACCCAGGGTCTGACAGCCCAAAGAAGCATCCTGGCCCACTGAGAGATGAACATCCCCCGGGGCTCTTGGACACTCACCGTCTTTGTTCAGGATGCCTGGCAACTTTGTATCCATCCGTCCCTTGTAAATATGTCCATCAAGGCCCAGGATGTCCACCTCATCATGCTGTAGAGGTGGATATACATCTGTTACCCTCTGACCCTGCCCCTTTGAAGGCCTGGGGAACCGTTGTTTCCTTATCCTTTGGCACCAAACCATGCTTGGAGCCCTCCTGGGGGACTCTGAGCAGCACCAGGGCAGAAGGTGGGTGGTGGAGGTGGTATCATTCTGAATGCTATTGGTGGGAGGTCTTGGTGCTGGGTGGAGAGCCGCCGCACACAGGATTAGAACCTGTGGCTTAACTGGGTCTGATTAACACATTATTGGCAAGCAGTTTTATACAGAAACTATCCATGGTGCCAGGTAACCCGTGACTGGTCAATAATGTGTTAAGAAACTGCCTTGCTGGCTCGTTGCCTGTAGCTCAATGGTTAGGGTGCCGGCCACATATACCAAGGTTGGAGGGTTCAAACCCAGCCTGGGCCTGCTAAACAACACTGATAACTACAACAGAAAAATAGCTGGGCATTGTGACAGGCACCTGTAGTCCCAGATACTTGGGAGGCTGAGGCAAGAGAATTGCTTAAGCCCGAGAGTCTGAGGTTGCTGTGAGCTATGACGCGACAGCACTCTACCAAGGGTGACATAATAAGACTTTGTCTCAAAAAGAAAAAGAAAACTGCCTCAAGGCTGAGGACTGGATGAGGTGACTTCTGGTTGTGTTTCCAGAATGACTTGGAAATCTGGAGCCGTGTCAGGGCCATCCTCCTGGGAGGCTCCCAGGCAGGCCTCTACCTTCATGGCAATCTGAACCTCCTCCGTGGGCCCCTGGGACAGGTGCTGCAGGCGGTTGCGACGATATGGGTAGGTGAGGGTGTGGCTGCCCCCGCAGCGCCGGGGCACTGTCGAGTAGGTGTAGTCAGCTGAATCTGACACCCTGTGATGAAGATACCATGGAATCATTAGGGGCAGCCATCAGGCACAAAGCCTGGGACACACCTACTGTGGGGCTGGCCAGAAGGAAGTGGGTAGCTCTCTGTAGGGTTTGTGAGAGTCAGGGCAGAGCAGGGGGCCCTGGGACAGTGGGGGAAGTAGGCCAAGCAACCTGGAGGCTGGACCACCCTGAAGACCACACACACTAAATCACGTGTTCATATGCACACACACACACTCATGTACACTGACACATATCCTCTCATACACTGACACATACAATACATACACACTCTCTCATGTGCGCGCACACAATGATGCAACACACACTCTCCTACCCTCAGGCACACATATAACCCACCCGCCTCACAAATACACACTTGCACACTCAGAACACATACACTCTCACAGGCTTCCTTTCCTCCTTGGGGCTTTGGCCAGCAGCAGGGTAAGGCATTTGTCCACATGGCTGAGTGTAGGCAGAAGCAATGCCCAGTTGCCAGGGTCTGGACCCAGTGGCTTAGCCTGGCCCTACCGTTTGTAGCAAGGGGAGTTGAGGCAATGGGCCTGCAGCAGCTCGCGGATCATCTGGCTGCTGGCCCTGACGGAGCCTCCGAAATGGATCTGCACTTTCTCGATGTCCATCAGCATCTTGGAGTGCATGGAGCGCAGGCGCCCCACGCTCCGCTCCATCTGTGCCAGGTCGCCCCGAGGGAAGGCACTGCCCAGCTTGAGGCTGCAGAGCAGGATAGAAGCAGGATCAGCCCAGGAACGGACAGGACCCCAGAGCCACTCCAGCCTTGACCTTGCTCAAGCTGCTTCCTTCAGCCCTAGGCAGGGCCCTCTGTGGGCTAAGCCAGCCCGTGTCACATCGCAGAGAAGGTTTTTCTCAGGGATAAGTACAGAAGACCAGGTGGGCAGAGCGTCTGACCACGGGTGGACGAGTTAACACCAGGCACTGGCCTCTCTCGTCCAGTCCCTGGAACCCCTATAGGGCTCCAAGAACAGTTTGAAGTCCTCTTTCCTGTGAATGCCATCCTTAAGTGGTGAGGAGGGCTTGGCCAAGGGAGCGATGTGGGGCGGGGAGCTCCATCCCCAGGTTGCTGAGTCAGCTGAAGGATGGGGGAGGCAGCTGCTACCTTAGCAGCCCCTTAACTCCCAGTGGGGATAAAAAGGCAGGTTATTACTAGCTTTTCCTCCAACACACACACCCAGGAAGGAAGAGGGAGCTAGTTTAGAAATCAGCTGAGTGGCTGCGCTGTCCCATCCCTGAGGAGGAGGTCTTCCACACTGTTTCCCAGACCTGCCCTCTGACGTCACCTGTGCCCTGGCTTCCCTTTCCAAGACCCTGCCCTGTGACCCCAGTGCTCATACCTGCGGCTCTGCTGCCGGACCTGCTCCAGCTCAAACACTGTGTAGGGGCGGGAGGAACGGTGCCCTGGTAGGCTTGGACCCACAGCTGTCACGGGGATGATTCTGGAAAGGGATGGGTCAGAGCATGAGAAATCCCATCACACAGCTTCTATTCTTCACCTTCCACCTGCCTCCAGAACACCTCAGGCCTGGGGGGGACCCTCCTGGGCAGGATGGAGAAGGGGAGGAGCAGCCCGCTGTGCCAGGCTGTGTGGGCCGGGTGCGGGTACTCACTGTCCAGTTACAGCCGTCTCCAAGGGGCGGTCACATGAGAGGCAATGGAAATGTGCCAGGAGCTGCCTGTTGGGAAGGATGCACATGGTAGGTGAGTGCTCTGCCCAGAGAGTCCCCAGAAGGGCTTGGCAGCCTGGACACTGTCCTCCAGAGTGCTGGCTGATCCTAGCCCTGCCCCTAGAACGCACCTGCACCTTTCAGCCTCAGGTCCCACCTCTGCCTTTCCTCTCCCTGGGCCAGCCTATTTCCAGCTTCCCTCATCCCATCCCTGAGGGTGCCTTGTGTGAGTCTTGGGGGCCCTCTGGTGGCCAAGAATGGGAATTCTGGGATTCAAAACCACCTCGGGCCAGAACTCCCCAGTGCTGTCTCAGCTCACAGGACTGAGGACCCCTCCCTGATCTGAAGGGGTAGCACCTCCACGGCTAGAGAGCCTTATGCCTCCTCACTTTCTCTCCCAGTGTGAGAAAGAGACCTGAGCTAGAAGAGCCTTTCAAGCTACAGAATTCTGTCCCTCCACTGTGGGATGGTCAGCTGTGTGTCCCGACCTAGTGCCTCCCTCACCAGTGGGGTGTGCCAGACTCCCCACTGTCTGCCAGGCCTCACCTCCGCATGGCGGCTGCCTCATCAGCTGTATAGAGAGGAGAACGCTCCTTAAGCTGTTGCTTCAGTGATTTCCACCGATCCTCCAGCATCTGCTTTAGGGGGTCCAGCTCCAAGCGGTCCAGCTGCCGGGGTGGGGGCAGCCAATGAGCTCTAAGGCAGCAGGTGGGGGTCTGGCTCCAGAGAGGGTGGCATTGTCCTGATTCAGGGACCCTACCCCACCCCTGCCACACACCTTGGAGTCCATCTCCACCACAAGCTTGTCCAGCATCTTCTGCCAGTCCTGTTCTTGCCCGCTCATCTTGGTCACCAGTTCCCGCATCATGTGGTTCAGCTGTTCCGTGGTGGCATCAAACTGGACACGGCTCACTTTGGCGGCCAATGCGCTCTTGTCAGCTTTCTGCCGAGAGAGAGGAGGCAGCCCCCCACCTGGGAGAGAGCCACAAGTGGCCCCATCTCCCTGGGGTTTCCAATAGCCCACACTCCTCCAGCCCCCTCCACTCTGGCCAGCAACACCTCCCTGGGACAGAGCGGCTCCCAGGCCTGTGCTTACCACATCAATCTCCATCTCTAGGTGCTCCCTGTTGGCCTTTTCCTTTTCGAGCTTCTCCAGGCCTTGGTACAGCACCTGGGGAGCCGAGGGAGCAGAGAACAAAGGCAGGAGCTGAAGGGCAGGGAGGCGGAGGCGAGCCCTGGCCCTGCTCTCCACTGCCCTGTCGGCTGCTCACGTCAATGTCCTTCTGCTTCCGACGATGGTCCTCGATGAGGTTGCCGGTGGTGATGTTGAGCTTCTCACAGTCGCCCTGCACCTGCAGGATGGCGTTCTGCACATGGCCCAGCAGCTCCTCATCCTGTGGCAGGAGGGCCAAGATGGATTGCTGGCTCTACTGAGGTGGCCCCTGCCCCCACCACCGTATTGCTGGCATCTGATAAATTGGCCTTAAATCATCACCCAACAGGGAATCCAGCTTCAGATACCATCCAGCATTCCCTGGTTGTCTTCATAGTAATTTCCCACTAATGGTGGGAAAGGCTCTGCCCATTCTGTGTCCACTCTAGTGGGACAGGAGCATCAACCACCCATATTCCCAGGACCAGCCTCAAGGGAGCTTGGGCTGTGGGGTGATGGTTGCCCCACAGCTCTGGAGGGCTAAGGTGGGGCTTCAATCTCCTCCCCTCCCCTGGTCCAAATCTGAATTCCTCAGTCCAAAAGGTAGGGCTCAGGGAATTGTGGCTGTCCCAAACCCTCCAGTAAGCCTGCCCTTTGGAGGGAATTGGAAGGAGTTGGGAAAATTGGCATGTAATCTGTCTCCTGAAGCTATGCCCATGTCCCCACAACACAAGAATGGCACTGGTCCACCCTTGGCCAGCCTGTGCTGTCCCACCCCATAGTCTTCTGTCCCCAGAACTGGCTCTGCTGCCATCCTTGCTGTGACCCTGGGGAAGGAGCAGGGACTTTTGTGGATTTGGCTAACCCTCACCCCCAAACACTCCTCTGTTGCTGCTATCTCTTTAGGTCCCTATGGCTGTAGCTCCTCCCAGCAGGGTCATGTCCAGTTGCATAGGAGGGAGGTGGGCAAAGACTCACCTGGCTCTGGAGCCTGGCTTTCTTGGAGGGCCGTGAGGCAGCCAGGTTGTTGACCATGTCTTGGAGCTGCTCATAGCGCCGCACCAGCGTGCTGACCTGGTGGCTCACATCCAGGCTGCAGGCTGGACAGGTGGCCTCGGGGTCAATCTGGCCAGGACTCAAGTGCTTATGAGCCTTGCTCGGGGTCATGCTCATGGACAGCAGTGTGGAGGAGGAGGCCAGCATGCTCTCAATGATCGTCCTGAGTTTGTCTAACTGGGTGCAGGAGAGACATTGGGGGCAGAGCAGTGAGGTGAGCCACATCTATGTTCCGGCCACACCAGCACTACTAGCGTGGCGCTTTCTGCCTCTTCCCTGCCGTGACCTGGACACACGTGCATCCTGTGCCTCACAGGGCATGCAGCCCACAGGCACTCTGTCCATGAAATAGTGAGTAGAATGTTCAGTAGCATTACTGCCGAGGAAAGCCCTTGTAAGAGGGAATTCTCTAGACGTTTCTCTCACCAGCCCCTTGGTCCAGAGTGAGAACCTCTGTCCTCTAGCTAAATCCCGAAGTGCTATTGCCTGACAACCCATAAACACTCAGAAGAGGCTGAACACACAATTTGTGAAGGGTGGGCTTGCATCTGCTCCATCCCACCTGGCATGTGAATAACTAATGATAAAGGAATGTGACAAGTGCTCATAATACCATGGGCATCTCTCAAGGGCCAGGTAGTACAAATCCTGTCCTGGGAGAGCAGCTTGAAGGCCTGGCCCTCCTGTGCTCTTCCGTGCCCTGTGGTCCTGGTCTGTCACCACGAATAGGTGATCCAAGATGGTCAGTTCATTCAAGGGCAACCACTCCCTAGACTGGCCAAAGACATGGAGAATTCATTGCCTGGTTCAAAAAGAGGGTTGTACCAACCTGAGCACCCTCTCTTGGGAGTGGGTAAGGGGGCAGAAAAGACTCTGTGGTGCTTGGGGCAGCTGGTGTGGAGCGTGTATGAGAGAAAAGTAGATGGAGAATGGAATAGGAGTGAGATGTGGGAGGGTTGAGAGAAAGGAAAAGGAAAGGGATGTGGCTACACACAGAAATAGACATAGGAGGCGGGGTGGGGGGCCCACCCTGGACCACCCCTGCAGCCTTGGTAGCTCCCTTTTCCTCAGCCCCCTGCACACCCTCAAGCATCACAATTTCACTTGAGCTCATAGACTCTTGCTTGCAACCAACAGGCCTGCACTGAGGCCAGCACATCTGAGGGCCCCTGGGATATAGAGGGACCAGGTAATATTCTCTCCAAGAGAGTAAGAGGCTTCCCAGAGAAATGGTCACATCAGCAGAGTCCTGAAGAACAAGTAGCAGCTTTCTAGGTGGATAAGGGTTGGAAGAACATCCCAAAAAGAGCAACAAAAAACAGGAGAGTGTTCAGAGACAGCGGGAAAGCCAAGGTGGCTAGAGATGGCGAGTGTGAAAGGTAGACCTGCAAAAAAGGCCACAAGAGGAGGCTGAGCCAGCCCAGCACGTGGGTTCTTCTAGGGGTGGCCCTTGGAGACCCTGGGGTTGCTAATCTCAGACAGGAACTTGGACTGCTAGGTGACCTTTGCACATTCTCCACTGCTCCTCAGCCAGGACGGTTGGCTGGGAGTCATGAAGTGGCACACAGCACTGCCCCAGCAACTTGGGAGGGGGTCCAGAAAGTAGCTGAAAGCACAAAGGTGTTCCTGCCATGAAAGCCCTTGGCCAATCCTAGACAGGCTTTTCCTCACTGCTCTGTCTGGGAGTACTGAGGGCTGCTCCTGGTTTAGACGCTCCTTACTGGGAAAATGACCAAGGACAGCATCATTCAAGCCTTAAAGGCAAACACTATTGGGCAGCACCTGTGGCTCAGTGAGTAGGGCACCAGCCCCATATAACTGAGGGTGGCAGGTTCAAACCCAGCCTCAGCCAAACTGCAACAAAAAATAGCCGGGTGTTGTGGTGGACGCCTGTAGTCCCAGCTACTTGGGAGGCTGAGGCAGGAGAATTGCCTAAGCCCAGGATACCAAGGGCAATAAAGTAAGACTCTGTCTCAAAAAAAAAAAAAAAAAAAAAGGCAAACACTATCAAGAAAGTGGAATGACAACCTATGTAATAGGAGAAAATATTTGCAAGTCATTTATCAGGTAAGAATCTAGTATCCAGAATATATAAAGAACTCTTTATAGCTCAACAGTAAAGACAACTCAATTTACAAATGGGCAAAGGATTTAAAGTTGTCTATCTTATCTCTAAAGAAGGTAACAAATGGCTAAAAAGCACATGAAAAGACGCTCAGCATCATCAGTCATTAGGGACATGCAAATCAAAACCACGTAAGATACCACTTTACACCCGCTAGTATAGAAATATATATGTATATATATAAAATATACTTTTTTTTTTTTTAAAGGCAATTGGTCAGGTGTTGTGGCTCACACCTGTAATCCTAGCACTCTGGGAGGCCAAAGCAGGATTGTTTGAGCTCAGGAGTTTGAGACCAGCCTGCATAACAGCAAGACCCTGTCTCTATTAAAAATAGAAAACCTAGCCAGGCATGATGGTGGGCCCCTGTAGTCCCAGCTACTCAGCAGACTGAGATAGGACAGAGCAAGATCCTGTCTCAAAAAAAAAAAAAGTCAACAAAAAACTTTAAAAATTAAAATGAAAAGGAAATTAACAAGTGTTGGTAGGGATGTGGAGGAATTGAAACTTTCATACAATGGGAATTGGAAAATAGTATGGCAGTTCCTCAAATGGTTAAACAGTTATTAGATGACCCAGCAATTCCACTCATAGGCATCTACCCAAGAAATTAAAACACATCCTCACTAAAAGCTTGTGTGTGGATGTTCGCAGCAGCATTGTTCACAAGAGTCAAAGAGTAGATACAACCCAAATGTCCTTCAGCTGATGAGTGAATACACAGATGATGGTACAACCACAACATGGAATGTTGTTCAGCACAGAAATGAGGTACCGATACAAATGAAACTTGAAAACGTCATGCTAAGCGAAACATCCAGAACAGGCAGGTGCACAGAGACAGAGAGCAGGTCGTCAGGGTCTGGGAGAGGGGGAATGGGGAGAGATTGCTAAAGGCTACAGGATTTCTTTTGGGGGTGATGAAATGTTTTGGAATTAAATCATGGTGATGGCTGCACAACTTTGTGAATATACTAAAAACCACCTTGTTTATCTTAAAAGGGTGAAGTTTATGATATGTGAATTATATAACTAAAAAGAGAAAAAGGATTTGATGTGAAGTACACAGACCCTGACGGGCAACTTTCCCTCGCCCACGCACCTGTGGCCTCAGAGCTGGCTTTGGATTGGGAAGGGGCTGAATCCCAGACACAGTGGCCTCATCGCCCCACACAGAGGGGGAACAGGGGCCTAGCCTCAGTGAGAGGGCAGGCCTGCCCCACCACCTGTAGCCCACTCTAAGAAGGCAGCTGAAGAGTGAAATCCTTACCTGATCCTGCAGGTAAAGGGAGGCTTCGGAAACCGAATTTTCCATGGCAGCCTTGCCCCGCTCTTGGCTGTCCCTCAGCTCGGCCAGCTCCTTCTCGATGTCAGCCACAGTGACTCTGGTGCATGACAAGAGACCATCTGGCTCTGTGGCCAGCCCTGGCTGACAGGGTTGGGGGAGGCTGAGGTCAAGGGGTTAAGCCACCCTCTTACAGGTCCGGTCCTAGAGGTGGGCCCCTGACATGCTGGTCTGAGAGGCTTCTGGGCAGTGGGACTGGGCGTCACAGAGAGAGCTCTGAGAGGCTCTAGCAAGTGGTGTCCTCCAGCCTCCAACTGGGGACACAATCTAAACCGCTTCACCTTGCCCTTCTAAGCCCTGGTCTTGAGCTGTTTTAGGAAGCCAGTGAGTTTCTACCAGTTGCTTAAACTAGATATGGGCAACCTGGAGAGAAAACACAATCCAGGTCAAGGACAGTGGTCAGTTAGGGGCACGAGTGGGCCAAAGATTGCTATGAACTCCTTAGCTAAGAATACTTGATGCCAGGAGACTAGGACCTGGGGGCAAGGGAGGGAGCGTCTTACCTGAGGATGCCCAGCTGTAAGCTCAGCTGGCCACCTTTCAACTCCTTTCCTCCTTCTTGGTCCCCATAGCCCTCCACCATCCTCTGCAACTTGTCCAGCTACAAATCCCACAAAAGGGAGGGTTAGGTGGCCCCTGTTCCCACTCCCCCTAATCCTAACCCAAACCCTTCTGACAAGAGCCAAGGTCCTTGTGGAAACCATGTTGGCACTGAGAGAGTGACTGAAGTATAGCAGCCCCTTGCAATGACCTCCGGCCCCCAAAAGTCCTACAAACTGGCTCCAAGGCTGCCACATGTCATAAAAATAGTAAAGGCCTTGTTTGGCTCAGCTGAATCCTAATAGCTTTGAAGACCACTTTTTAGGTCCAGAAAATGAACATGATGATACCTGAGGTGCATTTCCTGACAAGACCACAAGACCCCATGACTTACTGTTTGGTAAAGGGCTGCGACCCATGCAGATGAGAATGGAAAGTACTGCTACTAGCATTACACGGCAAAGTAGGTCAACCATCCCTTTCTTACTTTTGCTTTTTCCTGCCGAATTTCTTTGGCCAAACTCTTTAATGTCTTCAGCTCTTCCTGCAGGTCAGGAGGTATGGCCTTTTTGACTGTGGAAAATGGAGGTCTAGTCATCTGAGGTGTTAGAGCCCCAGTGGGCACCCATTCTCCATTTCTAGCCCCTGGAACAATGAAGCTTCTCCAGAGAACAAGACACACCACTCTGTCCTGCTTCTCCTGGTGACGGGAAGCCCATTAAAAAATCCACCTAATGCTTGACATCCTAAAGGGGACCTTGGGACAACTGACTTGCCATTTCCATTCACCTCTAAAAAAATTTTGTTTTGAGAATAGGGTCTCTCTGTCATTCCAGCTAGAATGCAGGGGCATCATCATAGCTTACAGCCACTTCAACCTCAACCTCTTAGGCTCAAACAATCCTCTTGCCTCAACCTCCTAAGTAGCTAGAACTACAGGCATCCACTACCGCACCCCCGCACCTGGCTAGTTTTTCTATTTTGGGTAGAGATGGGGGTCTTGTTTTTGCTCCAGCTGGTCTCAAATTCCTGGCCTCAAGCAATCTTCTCCCCTTAGCCTTCCAAAGTGCTGGGATGACAGGTGAGCCTCCATACCCACCTAAAATCTTAATCATTTTCTGGGCCTAGAGGTGTGAATGGGCAAATGTTAAGTTTAATTGTCTCTCTGTCCACCTTCCAGGGCTTTCCCTCACCCTAACATGTTCCCAGCTGCTGTCCCGAGACTGACATGGCTGTAGGAACCTGCTTCGTTCCTCTCCAGAGGCCCCTCAGTCCTGGTTTACTCTACCCTTTGCTACCTATTCATTTGGACCCCAAAGGCTCTGGGAGAACCTGGACTGACTAAGAATGAAAATGCTGATTTTAGGGCGGTGCCTGTGGCTCAAGGAGTAGGGCGCTGGCCCCATATACTGGAGGTGGCAGGTTCAAACCCGGCTCTGGCCAAAAATTGCAAAAAACGGCTCGGCGCCTATAGCTCAACCGGCTAAGGCGCCAGCCACGTACACCTAAGGTGGCGGGTTCGAATCCCCAGCCCGGACCCGCCAAACAACAATGACGGCTGCAACCAAAAAATAGCCGGGCGTTGTGGCGGGCGCCTGTGGTCCCAGCTACTTGGGAGGCGGAGGCAGGAGACTCGCTTGAGCCCAGGAGTTGGAGGTTGCTGTGAGCTGTAATGCCACGGCACTCTGCCCAGGGGGACAGCTTGAGGCTCTGTCTCAAAAAAAAAAAAAAAAAAAAAAAAAAAAAATTGCAAAAAACGAACAAACAAACAAACAAACAAAAAACCCAGGAAATGCTAATTTCAGAGGGACTCTGGAACTCTAGCAACCAGGAGTTGAGGCCAAGGGGGCACATGGTACCCACTCATCCGTGCCAGCAAGTTCTGCATCTTCTGTAGGTCAGTCTGGCTGGCCTCCTCCTCCTCCACGTCCTTCAGATGCTCCTTCAGCTCCAAGTAGAGGCCGATAAGCTCTCCCATCAGACGAAATGTTTCCAGTCTGGAAACTTTCTCTAGGGAATCGCGTCGCTCGGCCTGGACATCACTCTGGGCCTCACTCCTTTCTGGGAAGACTTGGTGGAGGGAGCCTAAATGCCTGGAAAGTGTGACATCTTGCCCTGGGGCAGGCTGGGCAGGAATTCCAGGTGGGCGTGAGGCACGTATTCTGTCTGGATCCAAACCTACCATGCCAGGCTGATCAGCAACTGGGAACCATGGCCAACCAAGGCCAAGATCCAATGAACCACGTTGGTCTGAGACAGGGAATAATTGGCTACGCTGATCCAAACCTGAAAATACCTGGCCAGGCATACCTGGGCCAGGTGATACCAAATGCTGTTGATCTGCGCGTATAGATCTCAAACCTGAGCTTGATAGTGTTGGGCTCTTCTGGTCTGTGCCAGGATGCAACAGGTCTTGCTGATAAGTTTCTGATGGTACCAAACCCCTTTGGTCTCTACCTGGTGATGCTAAACCTTCACTGGTTAGCAGTGGTGACACCTGGTCTTGTTGCTGTTTGCCAGGAGGTGCCATACCATGTTGGTATGGGCGTGATGATAGAGCACTCTGAGGATCTACTTGGGATGCTGGAAAGCCATGAAGCTTAGTACCTGGTGCTATCAAACCTTGCTGATCTGCACCAGGCTGTCTCAAACCACGTGGATCCATTCCTGGCTGTACCAAACCACCTGAATATGCACTAGGTTGCACCAAGCCAGGAGGGTACACACCAGGTTGCACCAAGCCAGGAGGGTATGTACCAGGTTGCACCAAGCCAGGAGGGTACACACCAGGTTGAACCAAGCCAGGAGGGTATGTACCAGGTTGCACCAAGCCAGGAGGGTATGCACCAGGTTGAACCAAGCCAGGAGGGTATGCAGCAGGTCGAACCAAGCCAGGAGGGTATGTACCAGGTTGAACCAAGCCAGGAGGGTACACGCCAGGTTGAACCAAGCCAGGGGGGTATGCACCAGGTTGAACCAAGCCATGGAGAACAGGTTGGACCACAGTATATGAATCTACCCCAGGCTGCACCAAACCACTCTGATCCATTCCAGGTTGCACCAAACCAGTCTCATCCATTCCAGGTGGGACCAGACCATGAAGACCTGCACTAGGTTGCTCCAAACCATGTTGATCCATTTCAGGTTGCACCAGATCCTGCTGATCCATTCCAGATTGGACCACACCATACTGATCTGGACCAGGTTGCACCAAACCATGCTGATCCGTTTCAGGTTGAACCAAACCACGTTGATCTACACCAGGCTGGGCCAAACCACGTTGGCCTGTGCCAGGCTGCACTAAACCACGTTGATCTACACCAGGTTTGACCAAGCCAAGGTGACCTGTACCAGGAGCTACCATGCCAGGCTGACGTACACCAGGAGCTACCAAACCAGGCTGACCTGCACGAGGAGTTACCACGCCAGGGTGACCTACACCAGGAGGCACCAAACCAGGTGGACCTGCACGAGGAGTCACCACGCCAGGGTGACCTACACCAGGAGGCACCAAACCAGGCTTACCTGCACCAGGAGTCACCACGCCAGGTTGACCTGCACCAGGAGTTACCATGCCAGGTTGACCTGCACCAGGAGTTACCATGCTAGGCTGACCTACACCAGGAGGCACCAAACCAGGCTGACCTGCACCAGGAATCACCATGCCAGGGTGACCTACACCAGGAGGCACCAAACCAGGC